CCTTCCCAAACCTTCCCTTCCCTTCCCACATTTCCTTTTCTTGAAATTTCCTTTCTTTGAAATTTCCTTGAAATTTCCTTTCCTTCCCTAACCTTCCCTTCCCTACAGAAACTTTGTTTCTCTGACTCAATATTTCCTTGTCCAAAGGCCTTTCCATAACTGGAAGGTAAATATCACTTGGATTGGTACAAAGCTGAGCAGAACTGGGCTGATTTAAATAGATTAATGACATCATGTGTTACAAATAGAAAACAAATATGAAAATTCTTAGGGGGAAAAAATAACCTCCCAGGCATCTAATTTATCAGCAAGTCACTAAAGAAATTCTTAGACATAGAATAATGGGGTTTTTTTCCTTTTTTCCAAGTTCTATTTGTGTTATAGTTGATTAACACAACTAAGTTAAACATGGAACGTTAATTCTCAAACTCTGTTTAGGTGGAACCGTGTGGCTCCTGCTGTCTAAGAGTTGAAGAAAAGAGATTTTGCTCAAACCCATTGCTTTTCCCCTTGTGTCTGCAGTTCCAAATGAAAGACATCACCTCTGTTTCCAGGCTTTGCTTCATTAAAGCTGGAAACAGTTTTCCCGTTGGACAAGGTCAGATTTTAATGTTACATCACACACGAAGCACTTAATGGACACGTGAGTCAAAGATACTCACAAAATATGCCCTTTTCAAAGTGAGACCTGTTGGATCTCATTAAACTTGTTGCATATGAAGTCAGTGGGGAAAAAAAAAATAGCCTGAGTGCTATAAAAAAGAATTGCTACACATTAATCCAAAAATTAAACTGAAATCACACCAAATAAAGAGCAAAAGAAAAACTAGAAGTTTTCCCCAATAGCTGTCACATTTGTCTGGCTTTATGATCATGACAGACAGAGCAGTAGAGTCAATTAGTTCTCTTCACAAACATATCTACTAATTAGTGAGTGAATAGGCAGTAAACACAGCAGAGTTTATCTTCAAGAGAAGGAAAATATGTACAAACATTTCAATATAGTTGGATAAAACCGCACAGAGACATATATTTTATATAACTTACAGACCAGAGAACTATTTACACAAAGTATTTGGTTTAATAGGGACATTAAATCTACTCATGTGCTTTTTGTCATCTACTAAGGAGAAAGTGCATCAGCCTAATTTACTTTGGAAATGGGAAATAAACTTTAAAAATTGCTGTATAAACACCATTTGCACAGTATAAATGTATAAAACTACCCTTTTGTATGTTATTAGCATCATACAGGATGGTTTTAGGGCAGTACCTGGAAGCTTTGATCTCTTTGTGGTCCCCTTGTTTAAGCTGCTCCATCTTTTTTCAAGTTCCCTTAAACACATGATAGGAAAACTAGAAATGGAGTTGAGGGATAAGAAACCACAGCCAGCTAAACAAATTTTGTTTTGAAATAGGATAGTTCTGGGATGGTTCAGGATTTGTCTGGGAGAGCATCTGGAATGTGCAGGTGAAGGAGCTGAGGGTGAGTTCTGGACCACAGAGCTCCATAAGTTGGTTCTGTAGCCTTGGGGACAGAAAGAAGAGGGAATGGAATATCAGAAGCACTGGAATGGCACCTCAGGGCTGTCCCCTCATCTACCTCCTGTGCTCCTGCAAAGATTCTCTGACTATAATTGTGCAATTATTACATTATAATGAATAGAATAATTCTCTGACTGTAATTGTGCAATACACTCACTATTGCACAGGTCTGTCTTAAAGAAGGAAAATCACCTCATGGTTTAATTACATTTTTTTTTTCCTGATGGAAAGAAAATTGGTTTCAGTGCCTTTTTTTTGTCTTTCACACAGTTTTACTTTTGTTGATTATAATGATAGCTAGAAAAATAAGAGTAAAAGGGGTAAGCTCCTTAACCCCCCTGATTTTAGCAAGGCTGTCTTTACTTTCCCATCCTGCATTCTCAGGTTGGGAAAGCACCCCAAAGCCATGCTCATCACAGGGTGCTGGTTTTGGCTGAGACAGGTTTAATTTTTTCCACAGGAGCTGCTGTGGGGCTGTGTTTTGAGTTGGTGCTGAGAACAGGGATCACACAGAGACACACAGAGATGTTTTTGTCGTTGCTGAGTTGTGCTTGCACAGCTTCAGAGCCTTTTCTGCAGCTCCTACTGACCCACCAGCGAGGGGGCTGGGAGTGCACAGGGGGTTGGGAGGGGACATCGCTGGGACAGCTGATCCCAATTGACCTTTGGGATGTCCCACACCACAGAAATGCTCAGCATGTAGACCCCGGGGAAGGAGGAGAAAGGGGAGGGAGACATTCAGGGTGATGATATTTGTCTTCAAATCCCCGTTACACCTGATGGATCCCTGTTTTCCTGGGGATGGCTGAACACCTGCCTGCCCGTGGGAAGCAGTGAAAGAATTCCTTGTTTTGCTTTGCTTGCTTGTGGGACTTTTGCTTTCCCAGTTATTAAACTCAACCCAGATATTTTCTCACTTTTACCCTCCCAATTCTCTCCCCCATCCCACCGGGAGGGAGGGAGGGAGCACCTGCCCGGTTCTTAGTTGCCAGTTGGGGTTAAACCACAGCGTTCTACAAACACTACATCCCCAAAGTCATTGCTGTGCACCTGCATCTCTACTTGCTACCAAACCCCCAAATTGCTCAAAACCCAGTTTAAAAAATCCCTCCCCCCCGCCCCCCAGAGACCACCGTAATTCAGAGGGACTGGATCAAATCTGCTGCCTGTCCGGCCGCTCCAAATCCCCGACTAAAGCATCCTAAAAACGAATTTCCCTTGTCTTGGACGGGCTGCCCGGACCTGCGAAGAGCTCGGGTTCCCCCTGCGGGCAGGAGGAGAGATGGAGAGAGGAGCCTTCAGCAGATCCGCAGCTCCATCTAGTGTCACCCAGCCAGGGACCGAGCGGAGAGCCAGGAATCCAGGGAAATACCGCAAGGAAACTCTCTGGGATCTGCAGGGCATCTTAGCAAGGGTAGGAAAGGTTTGCTGTTTGGGGAAGGGTTGTCTCGTTAATGCATTGCAGCTACAGGTCTTTTTTTTCCCCTCAAACTTTGGAAGGGATAATTGGTGTCTCCAAAGACTGGAGGCACTTACAGAAATCAGGACATGGGTTAGGTTGGAAGGGATCTTAAAGATCATGTAGTCCAAACCCCTACGGTGGGCAGGATCAGTTTGCACTAGAGCAAGTTTTTCCAAACCCTGTCCAACCTGGTTTTGAACACTTGCAGGGAAGGGGCAGCCACAGCTTCTCTGGGCAACCTGTGCCAGTGTTTTACCACCTTCATTGTAAAAATCTTCCTCCTTATACACAACATAAATCGACACTCTCTCCACTTAAAGCCATTCCCCCCTTGTCCTGTCCCTCCATCCCTTGTCCCCAATCCCTCTCCAGCTCTCCTGGAGCCCCTTTAGGCCCTGCAAGGGGCTCTCAGCTCTCCCTGGAGCCTTCTCTTCTCCAGGTGAACCCCCCCAGCTCCCCCAGCCTGGCTCCAGAGCAGAGGGGCTCCAGCCCTTGGAGCATCTCCGTGGCCTCCTCTGGACCTGCTCCAGTGGGTCCATGTCCTAATAATTGATGTCTCCAAAGACTGGAGATATCAAGTTTCCCACTGGAGCTCTCTCTTGTTAGGGCTGAGCTTCCTGATCCAAGGGCAGAGCTCCAGTCCTTTGGTGGAAGAACAACATGAGAATTCAATGGGAGCAGGGCTGGGTACTCGAGTTCCCTCCCCAGAGCTGAGTATCTTTGATTATGTTCCAAAGAACTACATTTCAAACAGAAACCATAAAAATGTAAGGACCAAACTCCAAATTCCTGTTCACAGACAAATCTTTATTTGCTGACATGCACAACAGTGCTCTGATCTTTTTCTATGCCAGCAGTGCCTCTTGGCCAAAAAAAATCACCCTTTACTCAATGTTCTGACCTTTTAAATCCTAAACAATGCAGGTAGATCCGTGACTAATAGAACAAGTGAAAGATTTTTATTTTTTTTATATGAAAATATGTGTGAAAACTGTCAGGTGATTTCTGTGGTTTCTAAATTTTGGTTTTTTCCTCAATGAGGAGTGCTGAGGAGTACTTTCCTTCAGTAAGGTCTTTCCCTCAATAAGGAGCACTGTGTGATACTTTATTTTCATTAAAATAGACAAAAAACTAATCTATTCAGCCTCTGTTGCAATGTCAAAAGTGCTGGGACTGGGATTTCAGGATTTTTTTGGGGGGAAACATGTAAGAGCACACACATATCACACAGGGATCACTCATTTCTTCATGAAACCATTGAAGAGATCAAGGAGGATTTCATGCTAACATGCTCTGTTCCACGAATTTCAGCACTGCATTTTGCTCATGGATTTTGTCCTTCTGAAGCAGCAGCTGGAGACCAGGCAGAATGTCCTTGAGTATCTGAACTGGGGCCAAATATCCATCCTTAGACACTTGATTTAAGTGGTTGCCTGATGAGGAAAAAAAAAAATATATATATATTTTCTCCGATTCAATGTGGAGATAATTCCTCTTTGTTTTCATTTGGAGAGTTTCAGTGAAACATTTAAACATTTAAAAATCATAAAAATCACACAAAAAAAGTTACGGTATTTTGGGGAGAAAACAAAAAGCTTGGAAAGTTTATTAACTATTTTTAAAGCACACATTAGAGTTGTTTTAAGTGGAGTGAGAATAAAAGGACACTTAATTAATAGGTTAATTATAGAGTGCCTTTGGTGGCATTCTGCTGGATTCTGCCTTCAGATCTAGCTTTGGATATTCCAGGAGAATGACACTATTACTTAGATGGACAGTTCAGACCAATATTCAGACCACAGAGTGTCTCCCCAGATCTCCTCCTGTTGATCTGGTTGCAAATGTAGGATTCAAAGTGTGAGTGACCACTTTCCATGGATGGGCTTCCTACAGCCTTTCTCAGAAGCACAGAAAGCAATAAAATGTGATGACAAGAAATGATGGCTCTGCTCCAAAAAACCCCCACTACCTAGAAATATTTTATTTCTGATCTAATTTTGTCTATTCCTTTATCCTTTGTCATGGAGTTGTCATTAATATTTAGGCACCAGCAGACCTTTAAAGAGTTGGCCTCGTACAAACATTTACCAAGTTTATAAATGTACATTACATAGATATTTTTTGGTGTACCCACATTTCTGGAGTGGGTTCCATAATAAAGGTGACTGGTAGCAAATTTAAAATTAGTCCTTGTGATTTCTGCATGTTAATCAACCATTTAACTATTTTCCTGCACCTTTCTGAGCTCAAAACACCTTTCCAAGAGCTTGACTTGTCTCTGTTTGCACATACATGTAATATTTATGTTCTATCATAATATTTGGCTCCTGCTTTCTTTATTTTGGCCTTGCAGAGAAATGAGGAGATAAACTAAGGTGATAAATACATCAAAGAGGGGGCTTGTATGTTATTTTTTCTTTTACAATGTTGATATTTATCATTTTACCTTCAGCATTTTGTGATTTTTTATGAACTCTACTTAAAAACAGATAATCAGTAAAACCTAAGCAAACTACAACTTGTTCTGACCTGTTTGGGTTGACTTTTTTTTTTTGGTTCGCTGGTATTCTTGAAGGGAAAAAACCCAACCAGGTCAACCTGAACACTTTTTTCATTTATAAGAACGAACAGTAAGATGAAAAATCAGTTATTCCTGCTC